GTTCCCAGGTGCCGCCATTTTTAAATGCCCCGTAGTTTGAACTACCTGCCCGAGGCTACACGCAGCACGGACTAGGTAGTTCGAATTAAAGATCCTAGTTTGAACTACCGTTAAACCTCCTTACAGGAGTAGATTACGACCCGGAAGAGCCGGCGCAGAGTAATCTGTGCATGCGCAGAATACAGAACGGCGCGAAACTGCGCACCTGGCGAGCCCTGAAAATAGCCATCAGACCTTTATTGCGGAAGAGAGCATCTACACTGCCATGGATGCTCTTGCACAAAAGCACATAGCAGTGTAGACGCTCTCTTGTGGAATAATTTTTGCACAAGAACTCTTCCGCAAAAGAGTTTTTGCACAAGAAGCTGCCAGTGTAGATGTAGCCAAGGAGTGGAGTCATCAGGATGATGTGTCAGGGTCTGCATTGACTAGACAGAGCTGTAAGTGGGGCGTTTGAAGTGGGGTACAGAGAAAGTTTGGGTAAGTGAATGGAACCCTTACCTTGTTGGACTAGTGAGCCTAAGAGGCAAAAGACTTTGCTCAATCCTTTTGAGCTGGGACGGTTATTCATAGGGCGGAGGGGAGGCGAATTAACTCTGTTTGTGGTATTTTCCCAAGTTAATGCCATGTGACTTCTCTCTCTCTTTCATTAAAGTTTCTTTTCTACACTCAGACTCTGTGCTTGCGAGTGGGGAAGCATTGCCTCTCAGAGGCACCCAGGGGTGTGTGAATTTCCTGGGCCATTGGGTGGGGGCTCAAGCCGGTTCTGTGTGAAATGGACCCCTAGATATTGAACCCAGCCCTGGTTGCTGCCGGTCCTACCCAACAAAAGGGTTACACTCTAATGCCACATTTAAACAGCATACAATTTTTCCCTCCATACATAAACAGGTAAGTGACATATCTTGCCTTGCACAGAAATGATGCTGAGTTTTGCAAAGCCTTTGTACTTGGAAAAATGTAGTCAGTTGTGAGATTGTATAAACTATTCATAGGTTTTAAAGGACTGTTTATTATATATATTAGATCTCTGTACTAATTTTGATGTTTCACCTGAGTTTTGTTGTGTTTTATGTTCACCCATGTGTTTTATTTGTGAAACTTGTTGAGAGGGATGATGGGAAAGTCACAAAATCATCAAGAAACTGCAGACTGAACTCATGGTGATATATTTACCAAACTATAATGCAAACCACAACACAGAAAAGAGAAGAGGAGATAGGTATTTCCTGACTATGAAGTCATTCTACGTGTATAATTGGTGAAACGAATAAGAAGTTGGCACAGGTGTGGGACTGCTGGCTTTTTTAATTATGTGATCGAACAAAAATATGTCAGGACACTGGTAATACAGCACTATTAAGTCAAAATGCTGGGCTGTACAGTATGGTTTAGTAACAACCCGTTACAATATTTGATAGACCCCCCCCTAAATATTTGAAAACTCTTTTGAAAGAGGCATTGTCACATTGAAAGATCTCAAAATTTGTTGCTTGTATGGTTAATATACATGCAAGAAGTTAACAGAAAAGGAAAACTTTTTTGCTCTTTTCATTTGTTTACTTTGTGCATCTGTTTATCTGAAGTTGTTATTATAAATCATCTTTCACTTATGGTGTCTAAGTTCAAAACAGAATTAAAACCCAAAAAGTTTAAATGCAAAATATTACCTTTTCTCATGTTCCCAGAGCAAGATGCCATGGCTTGTACTGTATGTTCATTCTGGGTGCATGAAGCTCTAGTAGTGCCTCAAGGTGCAGCAGCAGCATCTTTTTGAGTGAAAGTTTCTTCGGCCTTGTTCTCAAGATATGTACTTAAAAGAGATCTCTCTCTGACTGATTTTTTGCTTTGCATTTTAGGCACTGAAACTATTTCTCTAATTAGGCTACGTCTACACTGCAGGCTTTTTGCGTAAGAACAGCTGTTCTTGCGCAAAAACTTGCCGGGTGTCTACACTGCACGCGCGTTCTTGCGCAAGTAAATTTACAGTACAGCGTCAGAAAACAGGGCTTCTTCCGGAAGAGTTATTCCTCTCCCCACGAGGCATAATCCCTCTTGTGCAAGAACTCTTCCACAAGAAGGCAGTGTAGACAGGCAACATGAATTTAGTGCGCAAGAAACCCCTATGGCTAAAATGGCCATCAGAGCTTTCTTGCACAAGAAAGCATCCACACTGCCATGGACACTCTTGCGCAAAAGCACATGGCACTGGGGACACGCTCTTGTGGAAGACCTTTTGCAGAAGAACTCTTCCGTAAAACAATTCTTGCACAAGAAGCCTGCAGTGTAGACGTAGCCTAAGAGTATGTCTATACAGTAGTGTTATTTCAGAATAACTGATGTTATTCTGAAATAACATAGTCAGCGACTACAGTACAAGCAATTATTTTGACATAATGTCAAAATAATGTCAAGCCGAGGGACTTCTTACTCCAATTCCTGTAACCCTCATTTTATGAAAAGTAAGGGACGTCGGAGGAAGAGTGCTCTTTCTCGGACTTCCTGCTGTGTAGACAGCATCAAAAGCCAAAATAAGCTATTTTGGCTTAAGCTACACAATTGATATAGGTCAAGTTGCATAGCTTATTTTGGCTTTAGCCCTGCTATGTAGACGTACCCTAACTGCTTTTGAGCTAATGGTTAAATGAACATAAGAAACATAAGAATGGCAACACTGGGTCACAGCAAAAGTCCATTTAGCCTAGTAACCTGCTTTCCAACAGCGGCCAGCATTAGATAAATCAGAGGGAATGACCAAACAGGTACTCACCAAGTGATCCATTCCAAAAGAGGCTAGGGACACCATATGTGCCCATTCTGGCTAAAAGCCATTAATGGACCTATCCTCCATGAATTTATCTACAGTAGTTCATTTTTTAACCCTATTATAGTATTGTATTCAGAGAGTTCCATAGGCTGAATGTGTGTTTTGTGAAGAAATACTTCCTGTTGCTAGTTTTAAACCTGCAGCCTATTAATTTCATTTGGTGACCCCTAGTTCTTGTGTTATGAGAAGGAGTAAACAGCATTTCTTTATCTACTTTCTCTACACCAGTCACTATTTTATAGTCCTCAGTCACATCCCTCCTTAGTAGTCTTTTTTCCAAGCTAAAAAGTCCCAGTCTTATTAATCTCTCTTCATATAGAAGCTGTTCAATACCCCTAATAATTTTGCTCTTTTCTGAATCTTTTCCAATTCCAATATATCTTTTTTGAGATGGGGCGACCACATCTGAATGCAGTATTAAAGAGGTGGTCATAAGGGTGACCACATCTGAATGCAGTATTCAAGAGGTGGTCATAGCATGGATTTATATAGAAGCCATATGATATTTTCTGTCTTATTAACTATCCTTTTTTAATTATTCCAATTTCTGTTAGCTTTTTTGACTACTGCTGCACAATTAGTGGATGTTTTCAGAAAACTATCCATAATGACTCAAAGATCTCTTTCTTGAGTGGTAACAGGTAATTTGGACTCCTTGGTCCTAGTTTTGTTGGATTATTCTTTCCAATGTGCGTTGATTTATCAACATTAAATTGCATCTGCCATTTTGTGGCCCAGTCACTCAGTTTTGAGAGATCCTTTTGTAGCTCTGCAGTCTGCCTGGGACTTAACTATCTTGAGTAGTTTTGTATCATCTGAAAATTTAGTCACTTCACTTTCACCCCTTTTTCCAGATTATGTATGAATATGTTGAAAAGGACTGATCATGGAACAGATCCCTGAAGGACACATTATTTACCTCTCTCCATTCTGAAAACTAAGATGTATTCTAACCCTTTGTTTCCTATCTTTTAACCAGTTATCAATCCATGAAAGGACCTTCTGTCGTATCCCATGACAGCTTACTTTACGTAAGAACCTTTTGTGAGGGACCTTGTCAAGGGCTTTCTGAATAACTAAGTACACTATATCCACTGGATCCCTCTTGTCCAAATGCTTGTTGACACCCTCAAAGAATACTAGTAGATTGGAGGATGATTTCCCTTTACAAAAACATGTTGGCTCTTCCCTAACAAATTATTTCATCTATATGTCTGACAATATTGTTCTTTACCATCATTTCAATCAGTTTGCCCAGTACTGAAGTCAGGCTTACCGGCTTGCAATTGCCAGAATCACCTCTGGGAGCCCTTTTTAAAAATTGGTGTCACATTTGCTATCCTCCAGACATTTTGTAAAAAAGTTGATTTAAATAAGTTACATTTGAGTTTCTTCAAAACTCTTTAGAGAATACCATCTGGTCCTGATGACTTATTACTGTTTAATTTATCAATTTGTTCCAAAACCTCCTCTAATGACACCTCAGTCTGGGACAGTACTTCAGATTTGTCACCAAAAAAGAATGGCTCAGATTTGGGAATCTTCCTCACATCCTCAGCTGTGAAGACTGATGCAAAGAATTAATTTAATTTCTCTGCAATGCCTTATCATCCTTGAGTGCTTTAGAATCTCAACTATTCAGTGGCCCCATTGTTGTTCAGTTGGCTTCCTGCTTCTGCTGTACTTGAAAAAAATTACTATTAATTTTTGAGTCTTTGACTAGCAGTTCCTGAAATTCTTTTTTGGCCTAACTAATTATATTTTTACACTTCATTTGCCAGAGTTTATGCTCTTTCCTATTTTTCTCACTAAGATTTACTGCCACTTTCTAAATGATGCCTTTTTGCCTCTCACTGTTTTGCTTTTTTTTTAGGTTGTTTAGCCACAGTGACACTTTCTTGGTTTTCTTTTTATGCATTTTAATTTGGGGTATATATTTAAGTTGAGCGTCTATTATGGTGTCTTTTAAAAGTTTCCATGCAGCTTGTGGGGATTTCACTTCTGAAACTGTACCATTTAATTTCTATTTAACTAACCTCCTCATTTGTGTGTAGTTCCCCTTTCTGAAATTAAATGCCACAGTGTTGGGCTGCTGTGGTGTTTTTCCTATCCCAGGGATGTTAAATTTCATTATACTGTGGTCACTATTACCAAGCAGTCCAGTTCTATTCACCTCTTGGATCAGATTCTCTGCTCCATTTAGGAATACATCAAGAATTACCTCTCCTCTTGTTGTGGGTTCCAGGATCAGCCACTCCAAGAAACAGTGATTTAAGGTGTCAAGAACATTTATCTCTGCATCTTGTCCTAAGATAACATATACCCAGTCAGTATGGGGATCATTGAAATCCCACATTGTTATTGATTTTTATCTTACTAACCTCTCTAATCTCCCCGAGCATATTACCATCTTGGTCAGGTGGTGAATAATATATCCCTTCTGGTATATAGTTGTAGTCTGTCTGCAGACACCATGTCTGTTTGAACATTTTCATTTGTGCTTGCATCCATAAGATCTAGAGTTTTTTTAAAGTGAATGCTTAGGTTCTAGAGCACCAAATGGCAGCCTCCAAAGCACTGTGCCATCTTACTGGCCCATTTTGACTCCTGGCCCAGTATCATACCCCTTGCCTCATACTTCCAGAATAATCTGTCCACAGCTCAGACACGGATACCAGAGTAGGTCTGTAAATAAACTTTGCAGGGTGGGTGTCATCCTTTTGGGAATAACCTTGTCCCGTGTTTCACACATCGTTCCTTGAAAGCGGGGTGCACCTGCACGTTGCAATGCAGCTGTTGGGGCACAACCAGGCAGCATCACGTCACTTTGTGTAACTTCTGCAGCATGAGGACAGCCCCTAAAGATCCTGGAGGACCATCTCCCCTCCCCCATTTATGCTAAAACTCTGGACTGAGCCCCATTTCTTTGCATCCATTTTGTAACTGACTTGATAGGGTGGGGAAAGAGGGTCAAACTCTGTGCTGCCTCCCCACCCACTCACCACCCCAACTCCCCCCTACAAGGTCCAGTACACGGCTCCTAGGATTCCCCAACACAGGGGCTATTTATTCCCCACCCTACCACACTTGACCTCACCTGCTCCCTCCTCCTCCTCCTCCAGGGGCGTCTCTGTTTCCTAGCAACGCGCAAAATGGCTGACCCGCGTGGTGACTTCTGGGAATTGTAGTCCTGGCATCCCCGAGCCTCTTATCCTTGAACGAGCCGAAGGACTATATTTCCCAGTAGGCATCGCGCGCCGGCGAAGAGAGCCCGCCGAGGCTGTGGTAGTTCCCTGTAGAGCAGGGCCGGGAGGGGAGCACAGGTGGGGAAACACAAAGGACGCTGGGAATTGTAGTTCCAAACCTAGAGAGACTCTCCAGAGCCAGTCGGCTGAAGGGCGAGAGCAGGACTACAAGTCCCAGGAAGGCGTAAGAGGGAGCGGGCTGGACGCCGCCTGAGGGCGGGGGGTACGAAAGGGAACCTGCGGTCGTGCTGCTGGAGGCGCCTCACTTAGGTAAGGGGGTAAGTGGGGCGGGGGCGCAGGTTTGAAACCCCTCGCGGTGATGCTGCGCTGCGCGGCGCGGGGGGGGAAGCAGAAGGCTCCAGCTCCCCCGCATGATGGGGTGTAGAAAGGGGGCAATAGGGACTCAGGCGTCCCCTGGGGGAGGGGGCAAAGGCCCTGCCTCCCTCTGCAGTCGGTGGGGTCAAGGAGAAGGGGGAAGCCAAGGCCTTTCCACAGCTGGGGGACAAGAAGAGATTGGGAAATAATTAGATGCCCCCCCTTTTTCTTCCTGTGATGAGCAGCGCCCCGGTATCTTTTTTTGTAACCTCCCCATACGCAGCCCCTCCCCCTACACTCACCACTTTAGGAGCGGCAGTGGGGGACTCCTATTTGGGATTGTGCCTGGTACCCTCTCTCCATACACCCATCTTTTTGGGCTGGGGGACAAGAAGAGATTGGGAAATAATTAGATGCCCCCCCTTTTTCTTCCTGTGATGAGCAGCGCCCCGGTATCTTTTTTTGTAACCTCCCCATACGCAGCCCCTCCCCCTACACTCACCACTTTAGGAGCGGCAGTGGGGGACTCCTATTTGGGATTGTGCCTGGTACCCTCTCTCCATACACCCATCTTTTTGGGGGTTGAGGCCTTTCATTTTGGGGGTTCTTTTTACTGGGCTTTACTTTTTTAAATCTTCCTCATTCTGACAAAGCCAGGTTGAGCAAACTAACCTCGAATGTGATTTAACGGTTGGCATTAAAACAGGCACTGCAAAAATGATTTGTCTTAGAAGAATCCATCTTGATCCTATCCCTTCCTCCCCTTGCAAATAAATAAAAACAAATGCCTGCCTGTACATTAGAAGCTTCAGAGGGGTAGCCCAGTTAGACTGTAACAGGAAAAACTTAAAAAAACAACAAATAGTCTTGTAGCATGGGTTTTGTTAGCCTTTAAGGTGCTACTAGACTATTGTTCCACATCAGAAATTAGTGAAATTCCTGAAATGGGAAGGGGAAGTTGCACATAGGTATTAAAACTGCAGACAGAAAATAGCTTGTGGTAATATATTTAGCAAGCTATGTGAAACACAGAAAAATAGTGAGGGCATGTGGAGAATACATTCACTGGCAAAGAAGCTACTGTACATTTTAACTCAGGGAGTGGTTGCAGCAGTTTGGTATGTAAGGGGAAGCCTGAGAAATAGAAATATTTCTTCTCAATTCTTACAAATAAATAAGTAATGTCAATTCAGATCTCTCCTGAGTCTAGGACAAGGAAATGCCCATGTTTTATTAAGCTGAATGGAATTCCAATGACAGAATTTTAGTAATTATTTTAAGGAAAGAAATCACTTGTTCAAACTATCATAGTTCGGGTAGTCCTGATTTTTACGGAAAGAAATCACTTGTTCAAACTATCATAGTTTGGGTAGTCCTGATTTTTACGTTGTTTTTTTTTTTTTCAAGAAGTACTTTTAAAGATGTTTACCAATTATACTGTTTAATAGCACAAGATCCGGCTTAGCGAATATCTAAAGGTGTTTCTAAAGTACTGGAGTATGTAACTATATTTTGGCAGCATAACCCTGCCAGCATTAATTTCACTCATCAAACTTTGAAGGTAGCATTAACAATTGTTATTGCAAAATGAGTTATTGCAAACTTCTAGCTGACTGAGTAATGATGGCAGTTTTGGGTCACCCACTGGCTGCTGTAGGCACATTTGAACTACATAATTCCTTTTCAGCAGAAACAGGGTTTAAAAGTGATTGTAACTTTCCAGCTGGAATGAGGGTTTGTTACAGTGCTTGCAGGAGGTTTTACCTATACTAGGTCAACTCTGTAAGTTCCAAGTTAAATAGCACTGTCCTTATCATGGGTATGCATAAGAAGAGCAGGAAAAACAGGTGAGCGGAGCTGGAAAAACAAGTCCTTATTTAAGCTTTCCTTTGTAAGGGATTGTGATAAGCACAGCCCAAATAATTGTCTGTCCTTCTATTATGTAGGTGTCTTGCTCCGTGTATTTACAGAATGAATGAGAACCTAGCAGTACATCATGTTAAATTCCTCCCTCCTGAATAAAAAGTGCTGATGGAAGATCCAGTACTTCAAGTATGAACCTCTGAAAAATTTGGTAAGTGAAAGGTGGTTTTTTTGGGGGGTTTTTTTTGGCATTTGCAAGTATGTGGCTTATGAAACTGGGATCCAGTTTTTTGCCTGATATTGACAGTTATGAGCAACTAAAGGTCACATTAGAATTAAAATGCATTTGAGAGAAGAACAGAAATGTTAACACTTGAAAATCTTATCTGATAACCAGGAACTGAACATACCTGCAATGTACATACCAAATTTCTACCACCCACACCCTTCCTTTTTTTAATGATTGTTTTTTAATGTATCTGAAAAAAACAAAAACTTGCTACTACTGTTATTTCATAATACCGAGCATAATGCAAACAATACACTTAAACTAATATAAGTGATGGTAATCCTTAAATTAAGATTTTTTTTTTAAAAAAAATTAAGCTTTGAATTACAGAAGCACTCCTGTATCCTGGAAAGGAATAATTTTCTGGTTGCCAGGCTACATGAGTCAAATATACTGCTGAGTAAAAATGTAAAGCGTGTTGCTTATGCCTATTGGAGCACATGAGATCAGAACTCACTACTTCAGGTTTTAGTTTTTATTTTTGGCAATTTTATGATGGGAAATAGCTAATGTTTAAAAATATAATTCTGTCACTGAGGCCACGGATTCTGTAACTTTCTGTGGGGTCTCCATGACTACAGCGAGCTGACAGACAGCACCCCAGATATTTTTAGTAAAAGTCAGAGGAAGTCACAGGCTTCCATGAATTTTGGTTATTGCCTGTAACTTTTCAGGCTTATTAAAAATACCTGTGATCTAATTAAATTTTAGTGAGCATAAGATTCTAATATCTGTGTTTTCAAAATAAAGTATGTTGGCTCTTATGATATAAATACTTCTAGATTGGGGTCCAGTTAAGTGTCAATTTTTAAATCTAAAGTGAAAGCACTGCCAAGTGTACTACTCCACAGAACTGTTTTTCTAATATGCTTGTAATTTGTTTTATTATGCATTATATTATGAAGAAGCTATCTTCTCTTATATTTTAAATTCTGAAGCTTGTCTATTTTATTTCAATAAAATAGTTAACATTCTAAAGTCAACAGTATTACCTTACTGATTGTAAATGGAATGCAGTCTCTTTTCTCTCTTATTAAAGTTAAAACTACTAGTTAAAGTGTTGGCCATGGTGTTGATAATAAGCCTCCTAGTATTTGATAGCTGAGGGCCCATGTGAAATGAGTTGCATGGTTTTGTTTTATTTTCTGTTGGATGGATGTCCACAGCACAAACTGCCATCGAAGTCAGTGTCTTATTTAGCTGTCTTGCACTTCAATTAGCATGAAGAATAGACTACTACAAACTGTCTTTGTACAAGGGTCTCAGACACTTGCATGGTGCAGGATAATTGTGCCTCATTGTTGATTAGTACTGTAATGTATTTCCGGGTGGAGCCTGTACTGTAGACCTATGTCCAACAAGAATGAATACTTGTCATTTTGCAACATCTAGTTACTGATGTCATCTTGTGCAGAAGATATTCTGTTTTTCTTTACTGAAAGAAATGTTTATATGACAGAAAAATATTTAGGTTTTTCTCCTCTGATTCACTTCAATATTTAATTTTATTATATTAATGAGGCAAGTATTGACAGACATTTCTGTGTAGAGTCCAAAGTGATGGAAAATTGATGAGCATCTGGCTATAACAGCAGAGGGCTTTTTTCTCAGTGGAAGTCATCTAAAATCAGAGGCAATGTTTACTTTTTTGAGAGTTTGCCATATCTTCTATCTCTAAGAGTTGGATGTTTTAATGAAACTCAAAATATTAAAGCTATGCATACGGTTGATATATGCATTCTAAAGCTGTAGAAATGAATGCTTTTAAACTGCCTTGAAAAGTATCAAAAAATAGAGTTGGCTTCCCTGTGCCTGTCTATAGCAATAAGGATCTGGCCTAAAATGCTTGTTCTTTGTATGTAGCTCTATAATTACTCCATATGCTGAATATAGTTTTTAATCAAATGTTTAAAAATGAGCTACACATCTACTATCACCAGTGTTTCCTGTAAGCTTTGTGGCAGAGTGGCCATCTAGGAGGGATTCAAATACCACCCAGCTGATGAGCTGAATGCCCACAGTTGGCAGCATGTTTCTCCTAGACGTGCATATCCACACATACCTCAGTACCCATAACAAAATTTATTCTGCACATGAATGGAAAAAAATTAGAGGATACACTGACTACCACCTGAAAATTTTAGTTAACAGGCTTCCTTAAAAACCCTGAGGAGCTTGGATATAGTTTTGGTAGCAGTCTGGGTAGTATACTGAACAATCTATTTTTTAAAGTCTTATGACATTTTTGGATCCTGTTTGTCAATTGAACAGTGTGACACAAACAAAGGCTTTTAAACTTTTTGTTTACCAAAATATGGAAAACATAGGCTACTTTAATACTTTGTGGAAAATTCCTATTTAAAGGGAGTTTTGTCACTCAGACTTGACCACTGGATGAGTCTCATCTATAGTAACCGTGTACTTCATTGTGCTTTTTTACTAGTACAATTGAATTTCTAGACCTTTGTCACAGTAAGAGGACACTAAGGTAAATCCTACAGAATCTTATTGAAAGAATTCATACTTGGAACACATTTATCTACATGCTCAAAGTAGAATTATTTTTAGCATCTATGTAGCCATTTTAAATTTTGATTGTATCAAACAAAGATTAATATTCAGAACAAACTTAGGAGGGTCGGTAAGTGTTATCTCTATTTATAAATGTGTAAGTTGAAGAAAAAATAATTTAGGGCCTTGGCCAAAGCTATAGAAGAAATAAGTGGCAAAGGCAGTATTATCATTTAGGATTTCCTGGCAACTTTTTCCATGCCCTAATCGCTAGACAAACTGTCTCCTTAAGTAATCTCAGAAGAATATTTGTAACTGAGTTTTTAAATTTAAACTAGTGATGGTGCTTTCACATTTGCCATTGAATAATGCATCTTGTTTCACCATGGTTTGGGGATCTATCTGAATTACAAATTTATTTCCATCCTGCCCTAAAAATATTCAATTCTGTAATCTCTAAATCTGAATCTTCCCCGGTCACTTCAGAAAAAAAAAGTGCATCTGAAAGATCTCCCCTCGGTAGCCCATATTGCAGTTTGAGGTGACCCAAAAAACTCCTTTCCCAATACGGTGCATTCAGCATGTGCTTAATAACAAGAAGCAAGATATGCATAACTATATTTTCTTGAAGTTCATTAATACTCTGTTATAAAGGTCTCATTTTGGAGGACCATTTTGTTCATGAAGGATTCATAAACTTTGTCTCCAAATACTGTAATCTGCACCAGTAATTAATAGCAAAATCTACTCAGGTGCTCAGACTTTTCCTGGAGTCTTCAATGGTCAGTGTCAGATAATGCCAAGTACATAATTAAATTGAACCAACTGCTTATCATATGGCTGCGGTGTCACTGTTTTCATGTGTGCAAATTTAAACTTGAACTGATGAAATTGTGAAAGTTGTTGAATTGATGCTACTGGAATGTTGATGTTCTTTAATGTCCACAGTCATAGGTAACATGCAGTACAGTTTTTCTCCACTCGTTTATCTTTTTTCCCCCCCAGTGTGCTTAAATCATCCCTGATTGTAAGGGGCTCTTCTAGGCAGAAGAGAGGCGTGTGCTGTACATAGGACTTGTATGGGCTCATTCTCTAGCTTTGAAAGAGCTGAGAAGGGGACTGATTATAATAGTGGTCACTGTGAGGCAGACCCTTTTCGTTCTAAGACTACCAAACCAATTGGTCTAATTTTTGCAGTTAGGGATGACTACTTTAACTTTTGTAAGTCTTTTGTTAACACCAAAGAATATATACGAGGATATTGTCTTTCAACTGTTTTATCAGAAGTCCAATTTGTCAACATTGCTTTATATCTGTATATTTATAAAATGCCACGAAAGCTCATCATCTAATAAACCATCTTGTTAGTCTTTAAAGTGCTACATTGTCCTGCATTTTGCTTCAACTACCCCAGACTAACACGGCTACATTTCTATCACCATAGTAATTTAGTAATATAAATTATTTTAAAATTCACCCACAGACTCCTCTTTATGCAACAATACTTAAATACAGGGGTGGGCAATAATTTTTGGCTGGGGGCCACTTCAAAATTTTTTGAAGTAGCCTTGGCCTGCCCTGAAAGGAGCAGGGCCTAATCTGGAAGGGGCAGGGCCAGAATGCTTCTGGGCTTCTTGACCCCTAGACCATAATTGGTCTGGGGTGGAGGATCCCCTTAGGCGCTTCCCCCCCCCTTCCCACTAGGCATCCATGCCCCTGGCAGCGCAGGAAGACTCTTCACACGCTCCCCCACCTGCAGACCCTGATTGGCTTGGGAGCAGGGGGAGTGTGCAAAGCCTCCTCCCACCCAGCGAGGAGCACACAGCACTTCAAAGTGCCACGCGCTGCTCACAGGCAGGAGGAGACATCACGCGCTCCCCCGCCCCAAGTCCTGATTGGCCTAGGGCGGCGGAGCTATGCGAAGCTTCCCTTGCCCTGCTCCCGCCATGCACAAGCATATGGCACTTTGAAGTATTGTACACTCCTTGCAGGGCGGGGAGGAGGGCGGAGGAAACTTTGCACAGCTCCACCACTCCCAGGCCAATCAGGACTTGATTAGGGTGGGACTTTATTAGGATGGGAAGAAGGGGATTGACTTCCAGTCTTTTTGGGCCTGCTTAGAAAAAGAAGGGAGGAGAAGATAAATGCAACCATAGTTTTAAAAAACTACATGCTGCTTGATAAGGAGATAATTGAAAAAAAATCTCATTTGAATTATTGCAACAGAAATCCTGAGAAGCTAAACGCCTGTTTGAATTTGATACTGTTGCATATTAACTCTTAATTTTTATTAAGACTTCAGGTCTTTGCTAGGGAGAATAACTATGGCATTGCTGGGGAGAATAACTATGGCATTACCTTTCTGAAGAGCTTTTACTCTGTATCCTTATATCAATCCTTTGCAGTTCAGTGCTGCAGCCAGAGGAGTCAGTTGTTGTGGGCAGGTTTATCAGCAATAGTGCCAGGCAGTAACTGTTCGTATTGCAATCCCATTGATTTTTAGATCATGGGTGTGGAATAGTCTCTGCATAGCCCTGTTTGGAGCAGACTGATAAGGCTCCTTGTTTCCTAGCAACCACAGAGTCTGGCATAACCAGAAACCTGCCTTTCTGCAGCTGGAGTGAAAATTCTGAATGTCTCAAATTTGTACCTTTAAACAAGGTAAGTCTTTCTCCTCAGATGCTAAATATAAAAGGCTTTGTTTTCAGTTAATTTTAACATTTCAGCAGAAGTTTGTTTTGGATGCAGACAGACTCTATCTCTATCGTCTTTGTCCTTAATATAGTGTTCCATTCTCTTTTTATTTAGATATTTCTCATTCCTGGGCATGGCAATGCCATATGTCCTTCTCCTAACTAGACTCATAGCTGAAGTTACAAGCAAATCCACTGACCGTTTGGTATGTATTTTATAAGTCATAGCTCTTCATGAAATTTCATTCTGCTATGAATGAAATGGCGTTAAAATTGCCTGTTTATATGCTAAATTCTGTTAGGAAGGAAGTGAAGTTTCCCCCTTACAATGCTGTTTATAAAAGATCACAGGAAAAGCAGCACACTCAGAACTTGCCTGTAAACGTTAATGTCAACTTTTTCTTCCTTCGTGTAGTGTTTGGTGCCATTGGTAGGTAGGCTAAGTAAATAGTGCCCAACAGGAATAAAGATCTAGCTCTCAAAATTGCTGTATTGATTGGCTGCTCGGTCTAGACAATTTGGCAGCTAGTGAGGGTGAACTTGCTCTGAAGACTGCCTATCAAAGCTTCGATCCCACCCCAGTCACAAGCCCACTGGCTAGAAAACATGCAGCTGGTCTGTCACTGAAAACCATAGATAATCATGATTTTGAAAGCTTTTAATCTTTTTAGCTGCTTGACAGTATAATAGCTACAAAAGTAATCCAAAATATGGAAACCTAAAATCTGCTTTTAAAAGCTGCCCAAGGTTATAGGAAACTGCTGCTGCCTATTGCAAAGTGAATGGGCAGAAATTTATAACCTGTCTCCCGGACAGTTTGACCTACAAGCCTTTTTATGTACCAAGCTGCCTATTTTCTCATTGACTGTAAGCCTTTCTGGTTCATTACTGTTCCTGGACTTCCCTCCTACACTCTACCAATTGAGTGAAGTCTACTGCAGTCATTAAAAGTTTGATTATCTCCACCAAGTCAGGGATGAATGATACACTCTTCCTGATATCCTTGAGCCTCATCACTTGCTTGATTGATTGGTGACTGAATGCAATAACAAATACTGTGCTGGGTTGGTTTAAACTGACTTTGACCCCTTAGTCACGTGCTTGAATACTAGCCCGATCTTTTGTTGTTTTCTGACAAGCTCAAGTGAATCTGTGTTTTGAGACTTGAGCAGCTTAGTAATTTTTAGAAAAAATCAGATTTAATACAACTGCCAAGTTCCTAACTTCCATCTCTCTGCTCAGTCCATTAGCCCATTTGCTTCATAGAATCCTAGAATACTAGGACTGGAAGGGACCTTGAGAGGTCATCGAGTCCAGTCCCCTGCCCTCATGGCAGGACCAAATACTGTCTAAACCATCCCTGATAGACATTTATCTAACCTACTCTTAAATGTCTCCAGAGATGGGGATTCCACAACCTCCCTGGGCAATTTATTCCAGTGTCTGGCTACCTTGACAGTTAGGAACTTTTTCCTAATGTCCAACCTAAACCTTCCTTGCTGCAGTTTAAGCCCATTGCTTCTTGTTACATAAGAACGGCCATACTGGGTCAGACCAAAGGTCCTTCTAGCCCAGTATCCTGTCTGCCAACAGTGGCCAGCACCAGGTGCCCCAGAGAGGGTGGACTGAAGACAATGATCAAGCGATTTGTCTCCTGTCATCTCTCTCCAGCCTCTGACAAACAGAGGCCAAGGACACCGTTCTATCCCCAGAGGCCAAGATGAACAAGTTTTCTCCTTTCATAACATTTTGTTTTTAGACCTATGAGAAAGAGGTTGTGTAGCTTAAATGACACTCGTTCATTGCAACACTCATACCTAGAGACAGAATGTCTGTACCGTAAGGGAGGAGTTATGATAATAGTAGCTCTTGCAAAACCACACATTTATTTTTAAAATTTGGCATCTAGTGTTTGGCTTTTCTATATATGAAAAAAGTTCCTTAATGAGTACTATCACTTTATAATATTGATGTCCTAACAGTTTTTTATAATCTAATCCTATTTTAGATGTACATAAACATCAAAAAGAGCGCAGTTTTTTTCAGTACGTTGTTGCACATGAGCTTGTGTGGTTTTTTGGGCCAGGATTCTGACATGCAGTATTTTTTTTAACTGCAATATTAATGCTAATCTTCCTTTTGTAAAGGTGCTCTATGAAATTAGGAAACTTCAATGCAAATGTGAAGTTCAATCAAAAATCAGCCTTGTCATCACTTTGCAGTATGTGGGAAGAGTGAGGATCATCAGATCTGTACACAAAGGAGACCGAGCTTAGTTTCCTCTGCAGCAGACCTCCTAGAGGCCACAAAGCATTCTCTTTGCTAGTCTAAGATCTGTGCAGAGGAGAGCCGTGAGGACAAAGAGAGACAAGGTAGACATGCATCATCCCATAAACTTATTAGAGAGTCCCCTTTCTAGAGGGATCCCCCCTTCCTGGAAGGTTTCGGTTTAATCTGTGTCCAGCCAGAGTTGCTGTGAAAGCATAGAGCCTCATCATGGATATTCCTGGCCTCTTGCAGATCACCTGTCCACCTGAAATCTGAGCTTTTTGAGTGGTCCTTTGGCCTTTTCTGTAAGAGGCAAAAAAAATGATCAGGGAAACTCTGTTCAGGTGACCACAGTGAGATCTCCTTCAGGGTTTTACCTCTGGAGAGAGTGATTTAGCCCATGGACATGAACTGTTCTAAAAAAGTTAGTAAGTGCTGTTAATAAAGTGATTCTACGAAATCCCTTCCAAAATCTGCTCTGACGTGTTCCTCCCTTTACATTTGTTTGTAAAGCCCTAATTTGGGCAGTTGCTGACTGATCAAAATTATCTCAGTGATGTAATCCAGCCTGTACTGTATCTTTTACTGCTGATTATTAAAAACTAGTGGCAATGAAGTGTTTTGTTGGTATGGTTTCAACTCCCACTGTGATTTGTTCCTTTATTACTATGTGCTGGGTAAGATTAAGCTTTGTTTTTAATAATGCCAAAAGCTGAGGGAAATGTGCTGTAAATATTTTCTTTTGTAGGTTTCACAGACAGAATGTTGTATGGATGTGTTGGATACAAACAGCACCTGTCCAGTCACTCACCAGTGCAGTCCAGGTAAGTACAGGCAGTCCCCGGGTTACGTACAAGATAGGGACTGTAGGTTTGTTCTTAAGTTGAATTTGTATGTAAGTCGGAATTGGTACATATTGTAGGGGAAACTCTAGCCAAACATTTCTCCAGAGCTCAGTTTTATTCTCCCACACTTCACTTCCCTCAGTCCTTTATTCTCAAGCTGAGGTGTCTGCTGAGAAAAGCCGCTCCGCGTCTCCCTGGTCTGCTGGGGGGAAGCAGCTAGTGCGGGGTTGCCTCACCCCGTTTGTAAGTAGGGATCCGTTGTAAGTCGGATCCATGTAACCTGGGGACTGCCTGTATATTTTTTCCAAGAGAAATTCCCAGAGCATTTTTCTGTAGGCAATGGCAAAACACAGAAGCTAATTAATTAGGGAAGAAAGGAGGAGTTACTGTACACATGCATCTTGAGGAACATTTTCTGAATTAACACTTTAAACATTTATTAATGCTTATGGAAACTGTGAACTCACATGAGGAGGATAGTACCCTGGTATTGCTGAATTTTTCAGTTTTCATGTAGCATAAAGTGGTATGATGCAAGGTGTACTCAGTATTTACAAGCACAGGTTATGGGGGATAAATAGCAAAAAATACAGTAATGAAGGGGGCCAGAAGAAAGACTTAAGGCTTAGCTAATATGATGCAAATTCAATTCTGAGAGAAGTGATCTGTTTGTAAAAATCTACTTTTCCTTAAAGAGAAGTGAAAAGCTTTAAAAAAAAAAAACTAATCTTGTCTAGACTTAAGATCAATAAGAGAACATATATAGCCTTATGCATTCATAATTCTCTGAAAAACTAAAGAATTGAAAATCACTTTTTCTTTTTAACTACGGATCCTGTGTTTTCCTTACATTAAATGTTAAAATGTATATTAAGCTTACGTTTTTCTAAGCTAAATGCTTAACTGCTCAGTTACTTAAGCATTACATGATTACTGCATTCATTTCTGTTCTTAAGTGATCCGAGCTGTGGCACAAACTGATGTCCATAAATTTCATAGATTAACATCATCTTACATCATGCCATAAAACATTCAACTACTGAAATCTTTGGTGTTAAAGTTCTTTGTTGCTTCCTTCTTATTTACTGGAGAAAGGATTTGCCCTTACAGTGAGTCCATTTGTGTTTAGATTAAATGTCAGATGTAATTTATTACTAAGGGCATCAAATGTGCAGCTTCCCTCAGAGGAGAACCTAACAGCAGAGCTGTTTTCCAATCAGTGCTTTACTAATAGTATGGCTTTTATGGGATAATTGATCCCATCTTGGCCAAAGGCTTTGGGGAACTGGATCTTAGCTAACATAGTGAGTTTTTGCTTTAGAATCTAGACTGCAACATGATCTATCAGGGACATTTTTCTTATCTGGCTCCTGCATCATAAGACAGAGTGAAGACGCTATTGCTTTATTCTATTAATAAAGAGGGTGTAGAAGACATGCTTTAGCTTTAAATGGGTACTTTGTAAATGTAAATAAAGATGCAGAAGACCTCATTCAAGACACAAGTTTATTGGTTTTCAACCCTGTCTGGTAGTATGGCTAGTATTAAAAAATGTCACTTGCTTGTCATAGAGTAGCTTAAACAGGCTTTAGCTGTGCAGTATCAAAAAAGTTTGGGCAATAGAAAAATACTGTTTTATCGGCCACCTTCACATTGTTCTTTATTAGCCTTTGAGTGACTGTCAGGATTGAGCCTAATATAACCTGATAGAGCTCCTTCACTGATTTTATTTTATTTTTTAAAGCATCTTATGCTTCTTTCTCTGCCTTACCTTGTGATATAATGCACAGACATGGTATTAAAGCTTATTTCTGCAAGCTGGAGACCCAGAGGGTACAGTAAAAAATGTAAGCAGGGTGGTCCCTTCTCTTCCGGTAGTTTTTAAGACATGGTTTGGAAGGATTGGAAAAATTTTCTTTTATATATAAATTAAAAGAAAAAAAGCTTTTCCTGTGGGATGACAGAATTATGTCATCACGTCACTCTCTCACCTCTCTCCCTCTCCCCCCCAGCTCAAGCCCAACTTCACTGCTTCCTCTTGCCTCTTAGAATTGCTATTTTAAATGAAGCCCCTACTCCCCTTCCTCCACCCCCACCCTGCAGGGCTTTCAATGCCAAGAAACATGACACAGTAGCCAGCAGACCCTACATCGCAGCCATGACAGCCCTGGGCTGCGGGTGGGGTTCAGTGCTCAAGACAGCAGCCTGGGGACAGGCGCTAGGAGCAGGGCTCCCAACTGGGCTTATGTGTCAGCAGTGGGCTCTTGGTGGGTGAAGGGGGGGGGACCTTTCCTCTTCCCTCCCCCCCTCCCCGGGCTCTTGAGGAGCCGGAGCACAGTGCCCAACTGCCCAGAGTCTGGCTTCCCTGTGGAGACTCACCCCCCTCATCAGCGGCTGCACTTTTACCATGGCTGCCAGAGCACCTGTGACCCATCCGGGGGAGCTGCTGCACCGATCTGTCTTCTTCCCTTCCGCTCCCACTGAGTGGCTGGGCCTGGGCTCTGCAGGTGGGGTGGAGCAGTGATCAGCACAGGTGGGACTGCACTGGGGAGAGGTTCAAACAGTGGCCCCTGTGCTGCTGCTTTCCCCACCTCAGCAGTCTGCAGTGCCCCAGAGCACCACATGCACATGGCACTACCTGCACCCCAAGCAGGCCAGGCAGGCACTCCTGTGCCTCCCCAGCTGCCAGGGTTAGAGCTGGGCCTGATGTGTGCCACGGCCATGGAGAGTTTGGGTTAAGGGGGGAATGAAAGGGCCCGGGCTGGCAGGGTGGGAGAGGAACAAAGGGCCCCAAGCTGGTGGACTTTTAAAGGGGCCTGGGTTGGCGGGGAAGGGGGGAGGGAGAAGGGGATGTAGGCTAGCAGGGTTAAGGGAAAAGGCACCCAGGCTGGCAGAGGGAGGGAGGGGGAGTAGGGGCCCAGGCTGGCAGAAGTGGGGAGAGCTGGGGTTGCCTGCCTCCTGCGAAGGGGTGGAGAGTGTTGGCGAGCACAGCGAGCAGGGAACACAGCTCCCTAGTTTTTTTTCATAATTTAAAAAACTAAATGGTGATTGGAGCTGTATGACAATAACCTCCTAGCATTTGCTTGCTTATAAGTGGCTAGCAGATTTACCCGGCGTTGCTTGGATCCTTAACTCCAGTTTTATCTTCCTTCATTTAAATCGTTCTGGGGCGGGGCTGAGGGCTAGAGGTTCAGTATGCAGGCTTCCCCAGGGACAGAACAACCCCAGCCCTCTCTCTTGTCCATGGTCGCTATAGCGAGCACAGCTGGTGGAGGGTGCATGTCCCTGAGCTGGGGTACAGACACTCACGAAGAGACACACTCTGGAATATATAGTAGCTAGGTGTTTCGTTTTTCCATCTCTGCTAGCCTAATGGGGATATAGCTGTCCCAGTCCGCATCTCTGGCCCCTTGCTGCCCCCTCTGTGGTCATTCTGCAGTATGACTCCCTTCTATCAAACTCCTCCCTTTCCATTTTATGAGGAACAATCCGATTCTATGCACATCCCATTATCCCAGCACAGCCAAGCCCTGCCCTTGCTTTAAGAGGAAGTTGTCTACCAATTTTTGTGGTTCTAGCTCTTACTTTTTAGGCATTCTTGAACAAACATACTTGCCCGTTTCTAAAATGTATAGTAAAACTTCTCCTGAATGTTCTTTATATATAGGACAAAAGCTTGTTTTCTTGTAGAAAAAGCACATTAGAAATGAAAGCGTGCCTTTTTTGTTTTTGTTTTTTGTGGTACTGTGATAGTAAGCAAGAGACACTCTGTGTAGGAAGCCTGTGTCCTCATATGTTTGTCAGATGTTTCCTTCTGGAGACAAGAAGGATTTTTCTGACACCTTCATTTCCAGCTTAGTGTACATTTTGTTCTTGTGCAGGTTGTTACAGAGAGTGGAATGAGGATGGGAGTAGCATTTGCATTAAATGCAAGAATGAAACCACTTCTGTTGCATCAACTTTCAATCTGACCGACTGTAGAAATAGTAAGTAATCTGCCATCCCGTTGCCCTGATTTTTTGGGGGGGGCGGGCAGGAGTCTTTGTACATTTCCCAGTTGTGTCCCATAAAAGAACGATGATGGGACTAGGAATGAAAATCCTCAATCTGTGGTCCTGCTATACCTGAATAGCTTTGATGACAATTGCTTCAAAACTTACCTGAAATCAACCAGCAGAAACTGCTGTAGAGCAAAGTGAGGCACAGTATCATTTATCTCCTAATCTCCTTTAGCCACCTTTTGTTTACACAGTAGAGTATTTGATCTTTACAACCAAATGCAATACCCAAACCATATCTTTGTGATTTTTAAGAACCCTTTTTTCCATAACATGTACAACCCTGAGAAAAATACTCAAATGTTTTTTTAAACCAAACTTGCATCTAGCAAATACAGTAATTAACATTGAATTTCTTGAATTATTTAATCACTATTTTCAGAATCAGACATTTGCCGTAGGCATATACGAAGAACTCCTTAGATCTCAATAGCTCTTTTATTCAGGAAGTTGGATCGTACTATCCCATACGTAAGAGCCCCCATTTCTCTCTTTTTTTGTTCTCTGAGCAGACCACTTCATCTAATTTTGCTAAATGATTTATTAAATTAAAAGAGCTGAGAGGCATATAAGGGCATTTGAACAATTCAGTAATGAATCCTCTTGCCTCAAGAGGGTGATCATGTGCCTCGTCTTTACTTCCCCCGGGAAGTGTAAGAGGTGTGTGTTTGTGGAGCGCTATTATCTCATGAGAGAAATCCAAGCATCATGATATGATGTCTTATCACTCTCAAAACCTTGACTAAATCAGCACTGAATTAAATGCTTCATAAAAATGCATTTTTCTTCCATACAGCTGATACCAAAGGAATGAATTTTCAAATGAATATAAGTACCGTAACTCCTTTTCTACAGAATATAGGTAAGTAAATGGAATTGTCTTATACTGGGGGGTAGCCACTCTGAAGTCTTGTCAGCAGCACCCGTTTGACAACCTGGTACTAGATACAATCTTGGTAAGATGTTTTTTCCCCCCCCATATTATTAAAAAGTAGCAGCCATTTCAGAATTTAATTATTCTAAATCCGGGGTTCCCTACCATTTTTATACCGTGCACCATCAAACCCATTCACAAACTTTTGGTAGACCAGTAACATTTTATTTTCATGGTCAGGGCTTGACACATCAGTGAATCTACTCGCCCGGGGCAAGTAGATTTCAGCAGTTGCCCCGTTCTCCAGCGGTGCACGCATGCACAATGTGGGTCTGGCGCATGATCAGTGTGGGGCTGGCAAGTAGATTTTGCCACAGTTTGTCAAGCCCTGTTCATGTTCATTATGCAAATAATGAACATATAAATAAAATATTACCTGGCCGCCTAGTCCCAACTCAGCCCCTTGCTCCCCAGTGCCTAACACCCTTTAACACCTACCCCTATGTAAGGATGTTAAATTTTGATTAATTGACTATTGGATAGTCGATAAGGGTGCCTCTGGCTGTTGCTTCTCTTTAAAGACAAAAACGCTGCGGGGAGCACAGGGCCAGCAACTCCCCCGCTGACTCTGGGCTCCGTACCGTGCTGCCACTTTGAAACCTCGTGCGGAGCCAGGCATTATGCTCCTTGTGGCATTTCAAAGCAGCAGCGCTCTGTGGACCTCAGGATCAGCTGGGGATGACCTCGCTGACCCCAGACTCCATGCAGTGCTGCTGCTTTGAAATGCCGTCAGGCTCCACGCACCATTTCAAAACGGCAGCGCTGCATGGACTACACCCTACCCTTATGCCCCATGTCCTTTGACCCTTTAACCTCTGTCCCCTACATCCCATGTCAACACCCTCTTGCCCTGTGACTCCTCCATGCCCTCACCCAACACCCCGTTGTCTCCCACCCCATTCCCACCCTCCCCAGAGCGAGGCTGCCCCCCTAGGGATTGTGGCGTTTACTGCCACACAGGCTCCCTCCTCCTTCATGCCCCTTCCTTCCCTGAGTGTGTCTTGTGCCCCCACGGGTGGAGAGGGGAGTGTAGAACCCGGAGCCCCAGCCAGGCCGCCATTAACAAAGGGGCAGAAGAGAGGGAGGTGCTACCTGCTCCTCCTTCTCCTGCTGCTGCCTCAGCCCCAGTGCTGCCAACAGCAAAAACGGCTGTACGGGTGGGAGTGGTGGAGCATGGGGTCCCGGCCAAGCCACCATCTTATCTGTGTGGGAGGGGGAGGAGCTCCACTGCCTTCTGCCACCACCACCTCGCACTTCCAGCTCAAAAATCAGCCGCCACCACTGCTGGAGCTGAGCCACCATCGCAGCCAGCAGTTTGCAGACCGGCACCAGTCCGTGGACTGGCGGTTGGGAACCACTGTTCTAAATTATTGTGTTTAATTTGTACTGCAAACAAATATAAATTGAAAATAATGGCTGAAATGTGAGGCACTACTGGAGGTTGGATCCCAGACAAAGTGACTTAGTGAACTGCTTTAGAATAACCTCTTAAAGTGAATGCTTTTTAAATGAGAGGATAAACGGTATAATCATAAACAAGATTCGTGTGTAATTCAGTGCTACACAAGCTCCTTCCAGGCAGCTCTGCCAGTGCACGTAAATCTTGACCTGCAGCATCTCTTGCTATTCTATCTGTGTATTTCTCTGACAGAGCCCACCAAAGATGCCCGATTGTGTTAACTTATGATCTGCACAGACAGGGAATGGGAGGTCTAGCATATGAATAAGATGAAGCAGCTACTGTTAAGAGTCTTAAGTTTTCTCAATCAAATTCTACTGCATTATGAGTATAAAACAAGTGCTGCTTATTGCCCTTTATGCTACACATGATGCGATAGATATAAATCACCTTTGCAGCCAGTCCCGTGAAAGTTATACCCAAATGGTAAAGAAGATTTTCCTACCCAGGAAAATTGATGCCTAATATAAAGCTTTCTTAATGAAGAAATTGCAAGATCTCGGGAGTGGCTTTTGGAACTTAAGTCAATCTGTGTACAGTATTATTCTAAAAATGTCACTATGCCAAGTATTTTAAGATATGACCAAACCTCTTTTGACTCTACCTTTGAATGAAACATACCACATCTTTGCTATTTACATTACATGGAATACACAGACTTTACTGTAGTAAAAAAAAAATAAAAAATTGTGGCTTCATTCTATTTAGTTTATCTCCTGAACACAAGAATTTCAGCATTCCACTACTTCATAAAATAAATCTCTGCCACCTTGTGTCATTATGACCTTAAACAAAATAAGTTAAGCAAAGTGAGTAAAGTTTTGGAGCAAAATTTTTTGCTAGTGTTTTACTTGCATTTGAGGTATTACAAATTGGCTATCTCTGAAGGCAGAATATCTGACTTAAATGACTAATGGCCCGACCTTGCTCTGGCAATTCTGGTTTTTGGCAATTTAACTTTACCTTAAATATTCTTATTGTTTTGTTTACTAATCCACTTTTGTTCAATGGCTGGCAATACTGGGATAAAGAAGGAAACACTTGAGGGTAAATATTGATCAATGTCTTCAGGAAAACCTAGAATTAAAATAGTGGAGGTAGAAGCTTAAAACACAGCAAAATTAGCATTAGAAGATGTTTCCTAGCTATTTTGATTTCATGCGGCTTTGTGTCTGGTGTTTTGATACACAGAAGGAATGTTCTTCTCTCATCTAAATGTAAGGGAGTTATTCTGTATTCTCCATAGCAGTGATGGAAGAATAAATCCCTTTGTATTATAAGGATTTCTAGTAAATTATAGGCTATTTCCTTTTGTTTCACAGGGGGTCCAGAAGTGGCAGCCTCTCTTATTTTGGGAACATTCTTCATCAGTTTATTCTTGATACTATCTGTGGCTTCATTCTTCTACCTCAAACGTGCCAATAAACTTCCAAATATGTTCTACAGAAGAAACAAAGGTAAAGTGTATCTAAGTCATTCTGTTTCTTGTTTTATTTACAGTTTAGCTGAGAATTTGAGAAGACCAAAACCTTTTCCATATGTTTTAGAGCTTCATGCATGGGCTTCCAGTATAATAGGCGGGGGAAGGCACAGATGTTCCAAACCACCAGTGTAGCCCCACCCACACTCCACCCCCCAGAATGCCGACTGTAGGTATTCTGGGGTCAGAGTGTTGCTGCCCCCAGCACCTGCCCTCCCTGTGTTCTAGGCTGGGGAGGCTGGGGACACATGTCCTCATCCCTCCCCGTGCTCTGGGGCCGGGGAGTCTGAGGTGCACTCGCCGACCCATGCTTCTCCCCATGGTGGTTGGGGCGTGTGGCATGCTGCCCCACCTTCCCAGGGTGAGGGTGTGAGGAGTCAGGTTGGCTCCCATGGGAGGTGGTGCCTCAGCAGAAGGGCTGGGGTTGGGCGGTGAGGCTGAGGGCTTGCCTCCCCCAGCCCTACCTTCACCAACTACCCATGACTCCATGTTCTATATTATTTTTAATGTAGGTGTTGTAAACTGTTCTGCACATTTCTGTAGTGGGACTAGTGCTATTCCACATCTGCATAAATGAACTGGAAAAAGAGAAAGTGAGGTTGCAACATTTGTAGATGATACAAAATTACTCAAGATAGTTCAATCCAAAGCAGACTGTGAAGAATTTCAAAGGGATCACACACAACTGGATGACTGGGCAACAAAAGTGGTAGATGAAATTCAGTGTTGATAAATGCAAAGTCACGCACATTGGAAAATATCCAAACTACACATCCAAAATAATGGGGTCTAAATTAGCTATTGCAACTGAAGAAAGATCTTGGAATCATTGCAGACAGTTCTCTGCAAACATCCACTCAATATGCAGTTGCCATCAAAAAAGCTAACAATCATTAGGAAAGGGATAGGGAATAAGACCTTAAATATCATAATATAAATCCATTATATGCCCACACATTGAATAATGATTGCCATTCTGGTCAACCCTTTTCAAAAAAGGGATGTTGGGAATAGATGGCAGGATCATGTGAATCTGTTCATTCCCTGTGAATCATCTGACATTGTCCACTGTCGCAGACAGGATACTGAACAAGGAAGGTCATAGAATCTCCATCACTGGAGGTTTTTAAGAGCAGGGATGGTCAAGATAATACTTAGTGTTGCCTTGAGTGCAAGTGACTGGACTAGAAGACCTCGCAAGGTCCCTTCAAGCCCTATGATTCTATGGATCTTTGGTCTCCCAGTATGGTCATTCTTAGGCACTGAGTAAACACTTCTTCTGCACTCTACTATGTATATTTATGGTGGCACTACAGAAGTATCTATTTTCAATGTAGTTTATGCACAGGTTGTTTCTTTTTGTGCAGCATTAGTCACAGGGTCTAACAATCCAGACTTTTACATAAGATGCTACAAAATTATCTATATCTGGGGTACGTATCAATGCTATCTGGACAGGCAGTGTTTTTGTAGAATTTGATGATAATACTTTTCATCCAAGGTCCTCAAAGCACTTTGCATACATTAAGCTCCACAACACTGTTGTATTATACCGGTTTTAAAAATAGGGAAACTAATGCAGAGAATGACACGGGATTTACCTAAGAGGAGGTGGCAGCAGCAGAATTAGGAACAGAACCAAAGATTTCTGGTTAGTCTTCTGTTCTAATCCCTACACTTGCTTCTCTGTTGCACTTGGGACCCACAGGAAGAGAGCAATGTCACCTTTTACGGTAGCAATTCTCTCATTTTCTGGTGAGCTCTCTCCTGCCCGCCTTCAGTTTCAGCTTTTGTAGAATGATACTGGAATAAATGTAAATCTGAAATACAGGTGTGCAGCTATCATGTAATGAGCTAAATTCATCCCTGCAGTAACTCATGAAAGCCAGGAGAATTACGCCATGAGTAAATTTTGCCCAATATGTCACTTTTATGAAGTCACTTGAATTTTTCAGTCTCTTCAGGTACACAGTATGCATACAATAGTTGCATTGTTGTACATGTGTATATTGTTGCTCCATGACCAGGACAGGTTAGGGAGGAAGTTTGTAGATATTATATGCCTGAAATCACATACATTTTTATTTATTTAAAATATTTTTACCCCACCTCTCTATTAAATATTTGAGTCGGCTTACATTAATTTTTATATATTTGTTTTAAAATGGTTATCTGTATTTCTCTACTTGTCCCAAGTCCTGTCAACATCACATGCAGTGGCTGCCGTTTAAGAGGTTCTACCATTGCAACAAGGAGCCAGATCCATCCACTGACCAGTGGGATACCCCTTCACTCCATTTAGATTCTAATAGAGCCAATTCAAAACAAGACAGTCAACAGAATTCTGTAAATAAAGGCAATAATCAAGCAAGAACATGAGATCAAAGTAACACATGTAACTTCAATAGCTTAATTGCATAGCACAGTTCGAGTGAATTTGGTGCCACTTAGTGTAAAGTGTACAATAATAATAATAGATGCCTAAACCCTAAGCTATATTGTGCTAAAGAAAGTGGTGTTATAACGAAAACTCACAAATTATTGGAACTTGTAAAAACCGTGGGGTTTTTTCCCCAGAGTTAATTACTACAGGTTTCCCTATACTTAGCTTTGTTAATTGCATAACTGAAGTCGAAGTACCTTAATTCAACTTTTGGCACTGTCCCCACTGCAAGAAGTCAAAGGGAGAACACTCTTCCTTTGACTTCCCTTACTCCTCATGGAAGCAGGACTACTAGCATTGACCAGAGTACCCCTCTCCATTCGAATTAGCTGTCTTAACTAGATCCACTCATTGAACCCTGGAAGATTGACAGCAACAGCTTCAATCTTCTCTGTAGTGTAGATGTAACCCTTAGGGTTTCTGTCAGGGTAAATTTTATTTTGCTTGGCTAATATTTGCTTTGTTGCTGGGCAAGGTTGGTATCTCCCAGTTTTTTATGCTGCTTCTGGCTGCTATATCCTTCTCTCCATGCTATTTGGTGCCCTCATGCACTAATAGCTGGTTTCTACTGCTTTCCTTCTATGGTAACTCCTTCAAAGTAAAGCGTTGTTCTAGTGGCCCTTCTCATGGAGAGAAATAAGAATGTAAAATAAAAAATAGCTTTTTTTCCTGGAGAGCTTGAGACTCCTGTGTTCTTAATGCTCAAAAGTATCCGGGCAACGTGTTCTGATTGCCAGATGCTCTCGAATTGATGTCTTCCACAAAGCAGTACAGAGAGAGTTCTCCCTCGAGTGTTGGTTGGAATATTAGGTCTATAAGATTGTAGAAATTCTTCAGAATGAACGATACATATGCGATTGAAGCAAACGGTTCCAACCTTCTAGAACAATAACCGTTTCTCTTTTTCCCCCTTAGCATCAGTTCTACAGCCCAGTGAAACAGTAAGTAAAATAATTTCTTCAGGGCATAAATAGATTTCAGATAGTGTTAATTATTTATAGTGATACCGTCAGGTCAAATTTTTGGTCCAAAAATCTAGAATTTTGTAGAAGTGAAACTTTTACAAAATCTAAACTCAAGACTGTCCCTGGCTTGCTTTTTAAAAATTCCAATTGGAACCATTTAAAACAGATATTCCCCTTCAGTTTTTATAGTCCGAATTTTGCAGCATTATGTTAGCCTATGAGAAATTGGACACAGAATTGACTTTAAAAAAAAAAAAAAAAAAAAAAAAAGCAAGTCTCAGGTGTCAGCAAAAGTAAACAGCATTAATAATGAAAAAATAGATTTTTTTAAAATTTATATTAGTTGTTTCTTTTAAGGAGTTGTTAGCACAAGTGAGGACATTTTGCTTATTAAATATAATTATCTTAATGTCCACTTCTAATTTCTGTCATATTAAAAAATGCAAGTGCAAAGATCTTTTATATTTTACTTTGGTTCTTACTCTGTTCTGCAGGCATCAATGATCCCGCCACCTACGTCCTCAGGTAACAACTATCTTTTCCATGTTTGAAGGATCTTTAAACTTGACTACTTTCACCTCCAACAACTTACTCTGGTAGCTTTTTTTTTTCCTCCTTTTTGTCATGTAGTCAAGAAATATAAAACTACCCAGAAATATCCCCAAATATCTAAGTCTCATTGTTAGTGTCAGTAATAGTAAGTAAAAAAAACAAAAATAAACTCTGGAAATGAAACTACAGAGTTGGTTCAGAAGACAGAAGTGTGACGTGTAGTAAAAACATTTTCTAATTTGATGTCAGTATTTAACATAGACAACTATATTATCTAGTAGAAATACTGCTTCCTTATTTTCTTCCACTATTTAATCTGAGGAAGTGGGTCTGGCCCACGAAAGCTCATCATCTAATAAACCATCTTGTTAGTCTTTAAAGTGCTACATAGTCCTGTATTTTTGTTTCAGCTACACCAGACTATCACTGCTTCCTTAATGGTATCTTTGTCAGCTAAGAGATGGCTTAGAAATAAGTGGATGATTTATCAGCTTTTTCATAGTTGGTCATGGGATATGTTTTCAGTTCTGGAACACTGAGGATTCCTAGAAGTGGGGGAGGGGGGAAGAGAGAGATTTTAATAAGCATGATACATTTGGGCAGTGACCCAAATCTTAGATTGATACTCCTCTAACTGGTCCTCTTTAAAAACCAACAAAAAAAACCCAAAACACATAGTTGAAAGGAATGCTGAGTGTATAATTAAATAATCCATTCTACAGATATCTTTATTCTTAACAAACCTTGATTGAATATTGCAGGAAAATAGCAGACGCGTAGGCCATCAAAGAAAAGCACCAATAACAATAAATATTGTTCTAAAAGCTGTAGCTATCAGTGAGGCTGATGTGCAAACAAGAAAGCTTAATGGAACAGAGCCACATTGGCTATTTCTCCACTCAAAATGTGGGAGAGGGTGAAATCAATCGCTCTTTGTCAAATAAAAAGTAAGCACTCTTTCAAGTTTCAAATATCTCTGAAAACAATACGAAGTTAAAAAAAATTCAGTGACACGTGACATTGCAAATACTACAAAGCTGTATTTACTTATTTCATATGTAGGTGTCAAATTGTATGGCCCTCTTTAGGTAAATAACTAGATTATCAGGTACTACTAAAAACTAATGCATGCTGTACAATAGAATCTCAGAGTTATGAACACCTCGGGAATGTAGACTGTTCGTAATTCTGAACAAAATGTTATGGTGGTGCTGTGAAAAGTTTACAACCGAGCGTTGAGTTGATACAGCTATGAAACTTTACTATGCAGAAGAAAAATGCTGCTGTTAACCATCTTAGTTTAAATGAAACAAGCATAGAAACAGTTTCCTTAACTTGTCAATTTTTCAAAAACTTTCCTGTGGTTTTTTTTAATAGTTTATATGTAACAGTTCTGTACTGTATCTGCTGTGGTTTTTTGTTTTTCTGTCATGTTGCCTTATTGCTTGTTTCTAGTTCTAAATTAAGTTTGTGGCTGACTGGTCAGTTTTTAAGTGGTGTTTTGATACTCTTGATACTCTTGAGATTCTATCAGTGTACTCTGAAGACAATGACAAAAGTCCTATTGACTTCAAAGGAAGACTGATCAAGCCTTCAGGAACTGGATAAAATGTTTTCAGGAGTTGGGATGGGATTAAACAAGCCAGTTTATTTAAAAAAAAACAAAAAAAAAAAACACCCACTCACATGATGAAAGTAAATAGTGTGGCTTGTATGTGAATTAAAAAAAAACTAAAATGAAAGAATTAAGATGTTCCCACAATCTTAATTTTAGGCCTTCCAGCAGGCAGCATGCTGACTCTTACAAGTGTAGACAGATCATTAGTTTAAAGCACAGCCACAGCAGCACTGCTGCAACAGCACTTTAACACAGCAATGTGATCATGGCACCAGCACTGGGAGTTTCTTTACAGCACTGTCTTGCTGCACTTGGGCAGGTATTTTTTCACACCCGTGAGAGGGCAAATTACAGCGCAGTAAAGTGGCAGTGTAGATAAGCCCAAATTTGTTCTGGACTCAAGGGAAATATAATCTGATAGCTCCAGTAATTGTAACCCTGGGTCTGACAATGAGACCCTGAGTGACTTTTGTGAAGTGCCTTAGCCTCTCTGCCTTGGTTTCTGTATAAAACATGAATACCGTATTTTCCGGCGTATAAGGCGACTGGGCATATAAGACGACCCCCTAATTTTTTAGTTAAAAGATAGGTTTTCGTCTTGTACCCCAGCGCCCCTCCGCCTCCCCTGCTTTGCTCCCGGTGTCCCTGGTCTGCTGGAGACGGTCTCCAGCAGACCAGAGGCACCAGGAGCAAAGCGGCAGCGGCGGCGGAGTCCTGCGCCTCTGAGGCTTTGCCACAGCAAAGCCTTAGAGGCGCGGGATCCCTCCGCCTCCCCAGCTTTGCTCCAGGTGTCCCTGGTCTGCTGGAGACGGTCCCCAGCAGACCAGGGGCACCCGGAGCAGCTTTTCT